GAGTTCACTAAATGCGAAAAAATAGAATTAGAAAAAAAAACATCCGACGAATTTGAAATTTTCTTTAAAAAAATACTCACGCATTTAAGAAAAGAAAAAAGGAAAGCTTCGCGAATAGAAAGGAATAAAAGGGTGGAAAGAAGAGAGATTGCATGACCCATGGTGGTGTCGTAGTGGTTACTTCGATTTGCTTTCTATCGACTAGTCTTGAGTTCGAATCTGGGTCGCGCTGCTTTTCTTATCCTTTTCAGAAAAGAAAAAGGTAGAATGGGCCGGCCCAGCTCGGACTGCTGCAGGCGCCCGTTTGCAGATTGCACTGTAACGGGCGCCTGCTAGACGAATCTTTTTTTCTTTCTCTCTCTCAGGACAGAGAGCGGCCAGTCCACAAAAAGAACTGATCCACCGACCTCACATCGCGGCCCGGCCCGTCAGATACCCACGTGATAACCCACAAGTATAGGGGATCGCAACAGTTTTCAAGGGTAGAGTATTCAACCCAAATTTATAGATTCGACATAAGGGGAGCCAAAGAATATTTGAAAGTATTAGCAGCTGAGTTGTCAATTCAAGTAACAACAATGATAACAGTGATAGCAATAATTTTGTAGCAAGTGTAACAGCGATAATAGCAGTACTAACTTAGCAAATAAAATATAAGTTAAATTCGTAGGCATTGGATCGGCGACTTGTTGGATGATATTCATCATGGGACAGTCACTGAAGGAAATATGCCCTAAAGGCAATAATAAAGTTGTTATTTATATTTCCTTATATCATGATAAATATTTATTATTCATGCTAGAATTGTATTAACCGCAAACTTAGTATATGTGTGAATACATAGACAAACAGAGTGTCACTAGTATGCCTCTACTTGACTAGCTTGTTGAATTAAAGATGGTTAAGTTTCCTAGCCATAGACATGAGTTGTCATTTGATTCACGGGATCACATCATTAGAGAATGATGTGATTGACTTGACTCATTCCGTTAGCTTAGCATTCGATCGTTTAGTATATTGCTATTGCTTTCTTCATGACTTATACATGTTCCTGTGACTATGAGATTATGCAACTCCCAAATACCGGAGGAACACTTTGTGTGCTACCAAATGTCACAACGTAACTGGGTGATTATAAAAGGTGCTCCACAGGTGTCTCCGATGGTACTTGTTGAGTTGGCATAGATCGAGATTAGGATTTGTCACTCCGATTGTCGGAGAGGTATCTCTGGGCCCTCTCGGTAATGCACATCACTATAAGCCTTGCAAGCAATGCAACTAATGGTTAGTTGCGGGATGATGTATTATGAAATGAGTAAAGAGACTTGCCAGTAATGAGATTGAACTAGGTATTGAGATACCGACGATCGAATCTCAGGCAAGTAACATACGATGACAAAGGGAACAACGTATGTTGTTATGTAGTCTGACCGATAAAGATCTTCATAGAATATGTAGGAGCCAATATGAGCATCCATGTTCCGCTATTGGTTATTGACCGGAAACGAGTCTCGATCATGTCTACATAGCTCTCGAACCCGTAGGGTTCGCACGCTTAACGTTCGGTGACGACCGGTAATATGAGTTTATGTGTTTTGATGTACCGAAGGTAGTTCGGAGTCCCGGATATGATCACGGACATGACGATGAGTCTCGAAATGGTCGAGACATAAAGATCGATATATTGGATGACTATGTTTGGACTTCGGAAGGGTTCTGGGTAAGTTCGGACAAATATCGGAGTACCGGGGGGTTACCGGAACCCCCCAGGGAGTGTAATGGGCCTATTGGGCCTTAGTGGAGAAGAGGAGGGGCTGCCAGGGCAGGCCGCGCGCCCCCTCCCCCTCTAGTCCAAATTGGACAAGGAGGGGGGCGGCGCCCCCCTTTTCTTCCCCCTCTCTCCTCCTTCCCTCTCTCCTACTCCTACTCTTGGATGGGTTGGAGTCCTACTCCTGGTGGGAGTAGGACTCCCCTTGGGGTGCGCCTAGGAGGGCCGGCCCCTCCCCCTCCTCCACTCCTTTATATACGGGGAAGGGGGGCACCCCATAGACACAAGTTGATCAGTTGATCTTTTAGCCGTGTGCGGTGCCCCCTCCACCATAATCCACCTCGGTCATATCGTAGCAGTGCTTAGGCGAAGCCCTGCGCCGGTAGCATCATCATCACCGTCATCACGCCATCGTGCTGACGGAACTCTCTCTCGAAGCTCTGCTGGATCATGAGTTCGAGGGACGTCATTGAGCTGAACGTGTGCTGAACTCGGAGGTGCCGTGCATTCGGTACTTGAATCGGTCGGATCGTGAAGACGTACGACTACATCAACCGCGTTGTCACAACGCTTCCGTTTTCGGTCTAAGAGGGCATGTGGAAAACACTCTCCCCTCTCGTTGCTATGCATCACCATGATCTTGCGTGTGCGTAGGAATTTTTTTGAAATTACTACGTTCCCCAACTGTGGCATCCGAGCCGGGTTTATGCATAGATGTTATATGCACGAGTAGAACACAAGTGAGTTGTGGGCGATACAAGTCATACTTTGATTCGGCGGTATTGTTGGATGAAGCGGCCCGGACCGACATTACGCGTACACTTACGCGAGACTGGTTCTATCGACGTGCTTCGCACATAGGTGGCTGGCGGGTGTCAGTTTCTCCAACTTTAATTAAATCGAGTGTGGCTACACTCGGTCCTTGAGAAGGTTAAAACAGCACATACTTGACAAAATATCGTTGTAGTTTTGATGCGTAGGTAAGAATGGTTCTTGCTCAGCCCGTAGCAGTCACATAAAGCTTGCTATAATTTTTCCAACTTTGTCTCGGTTTTCACTTTTGTTTTCTTTCTTTTTTTCTTCAGTTTTTTTGTTTCTTTCTCGATTATCTTCTTTTTTTTTCTTCTTATTTCTTTGTTTCCTTTTTTTGTTTTTTCTTGATTTTAAGTGCACATTCAACATTTTTCGTATACATTAGAAACATTTTTATACACACGTTAAACCTTTTTTAAATACATGATTAACAATTATTTGAAATCTTATATTTTTTGATGTCTACTTTTTTTCCATACACTTTTTACATTTTTGATAGAAAAATGTGAAATAAAATAAGAAAAAAAAGCCTGAGGCTATGACCTCCCGTGCGGCTGGGCCGGTCTATCTGGCGCTCTGCTTCACGCGAGGGTTCACGACATCTCGAGCTGATGATACTGGGGTTCATCATCTATTATGTGGGTGCCCCTGCTCGATGCTCGTGTGCGTCAAAACAAGGTGGTTTTGCTAAAGCTGACGCACGAATGGGTCGGCCCTGCCTGCAAACGAAGCTGGCCAGCTGGGATACTAATTGTGTACATCCTAAAAACGGCGTTTGTTTTTAAGTACCAATCCAATTGGTAGATCCGGGGTTTTTCAACATTTTCCATTAATTCTTGGAAAAATGAAAATCTTAAATATGTGAACAATGTCCGAAAATCTTACGGCAATTTCGAATATTCTTGTTCTTTTAAACATAAACTATGTTTTTCAAAAATTGAACAAACTTTTGAAATCTGAGTACTTTTTTTGTACCCCGAACAATTTTTAGAAAGCGAATTTAGAATACACATTGAACATTTTCTTAGTATAGGGTGAACATTATTCAAATACACATTGAACATTTTTTTAAATATGCTGAACTTTTTTTGAATGCATGCTGAACAAAATTTCTCTACATGATGAACATTTTTTATACACACTGAACATTTTTTCAATGTATGGTGAACAATATTCAAATACACATAGAACATTTTTTTAAAAATACGATGAACTCCTTTGGAATGCATGCTGAACAAAATTTCTATATATGATGAACATTTGTTTATACACATTGAACATTTTTTTCAATGTATGGTGAACACTTTTTTTCAATACGGTAAACAAAAAATTGGAATTCAAAACTATTTTTGAAACGTGAACAAAATTCGAAAACATGAACAAAATTTGGAATTTCAAAAAACATTTTCTGAAAAGTCAAACGAATTTCAAAAAATCTAAACATATTTTGGATATTTTGAATTTATGGAAAACAAAAAAAGAAGAAGAAAAAAGAAACACAAAAAGTAGAAAAAAAGAGAAGAAAGGGGATAAGAAAGAAGAAAAAAGAAAACATTTACTAAAAGTAATGAAGAAAACCGAAAAAACAAAACAGAAAAAACCCGGTTCAGGGAACCTTCTGGAAGTTTCACAAAACCAGTTCCTCGCTCCAAGTGGGCCGGCCCATATCGCGTCGATCGGTTTGTTTGCTTGAGCGAAGCGGCGAGAGCTTGACGCTCGCGCGCGTCATATAGGAATCGCCCTATTCTGCTGCCCTGTACCACAGACCCATCAACGTTGCAAATCCTAGCTTGCCATGAGGCTTTATCTCTAGCTAAAGATGTCTCAATCTCAAAGATTGTTATTGCATGTGACTCCAAAACAGTGGCGAATGACATCTTGGGAGGGAAGAGGAAACACTTATGAGGCCATCGTTAAGGAATTCACTACTAGGGCTAGTAAGTTAGATCGCCGCTTAGTTACTCTTGAAGGTAGAGCTTCGAATTCGGAAGCTCATTTATTTACTTGCCAAACACTCAATGTTGCTAGGCCCACTTGTGGATTATTACTCCGCATGACCCTTGTTGTATTTCCTTAAACATCCACGTTGATCAATAAAGCGCTGGCAAATCTAAAAAAAAGTCTAGCTATAATTTTTTTGAGCGGTAAGTCTCGCTATAATAAAGCAAGACACAGGGGGCGCCCGCCTCATGAATCGTTTTTTTTTCTGTATCTCTATCAGGCCCGAGAGCGGCCCACGCACGGCCGAGAAAACACCCCCGATCCACCGACCTCGCATCGCGGGCCGGCCTGCCAGGTACCCACGCCACGCGCAAAAGGCAAAAGAGTCTCCTCCCCCTCCGCATCTCTCTCTCTGCTGCTGCTGCTGCTCCCCACGTCTCCAACCCCCACATCCAGCTAGGGTTTCGCAGCTTCTCCGATGGCGGCGGCGGCGGGCGGCGCGACGACGTCGACGAGGCGCGGGCCGGGCGGCGGCGGCCGGCCGATGGACGACGAGAACCTGACCTTCGAGACCTCGGCGGGGGTGGAGGTGGTCGGCAGCTTCGACGCCATGGGGATCCGCGAGGACCTGCTCCGCGGCATCTACGGCTACGGCTTCGAGAAGCCCTCCGCCATCCAGCAGCGGGCCGTCATCCCCATCATCACCGGCCGCGACGTCATCGCGCAGGCCCAGTCCGGCACCGGCAAGACCTCCATGATCTCCCTCTCCGTCTGCCAGGTCATCGAGACCAACGTCCACGAGTAAGTCGCCCATCCCCTCCCCTCCCCTCCCTCTGCCACCGTCGCCGGATTGTCGGATTGCTTGCTTGCTTGGCCGATTGGTCGGCCAAGGACTCGCTAGATTTTAGGGTTTGTATTTAGCTGATGCTCGTCTTGGACCGCCATGCCCCGCTGATAGAGCTGGTCTCATTAGCGCCCGCGTGGATTCATTCGTGTCGTGCTCTCGATTTTGCGGCGGGATGTGTGATTTCGGCCTAGGTTTGTGGAATCTGTTCAAACATTAGAGTCCAACTGCCTGTTTACTGTCATTTAACCCTTCTATGCACCAGCTTTCCATGATGCATATGCACTCGATCCAAAATAGATTTGTGGAACCTGTTACTAAAACCAATGCATTGTATCACCCCCTGCGAATGGGCTATACAATTTACACTCTGTTGACCTTGTGCCTTGTCAGTTTTACTGCCTGTCACGATACTGTTTACACGCCACTTGCTCTGAAAGAGTGAAGCTGAAGTCGATATTCGATTCTGTAGGGTGCAGGCGCTGATACTGTCACCAACTAGGGAACTTGCGACGCAAACAGAGAGGGTGATGCAGGCTGTTGGTAACTTCATGAGCGTCTCTGTGCATGCCTGTGTTGGTGGCAAAAGTATCGGCGAGGATATTAGGAAGCTCGAGTCTGGAGTGCATGTTGTTTCAGGCACCCCGGGCAGAGTATGTGACATGATCAAGAGAAGGACCCTTCGCACAAGAGCCATCAAGCTCCTAGTCCTGGTTAGTTTGCTCTTGTCATACTGCATTTCTTTTAAAATAAATTTGGCCAAGTTCAACGATTCTAACATGGTTGATTTCATAACAGGACGAAGCCGATGAGATGTTGAGCAGAGGTTTCAAGGATCAGATATATGATGTCTACAGATATCTTCCCCCAGAACTTCAGGTCCGTCTTTGAACTACTTACCTGTGTAATTTATCAGTCTTCAGGCTTTTTACTGCATAATTCAAGTTGTCACCTGACTTTAATTTTTCTCTCTATATATCACCTTTCTGTCTTGATTTTTTCATTGAGAAACACGAATATCTTGCACCGTTTTCGACTGTAATCATCTTGCTGTAGCTAGCAATGCATGTCATTGTTACTAGTTAGCTGCTCGTGCGTTGCTATGAAAGATAAAATTTCCTAAAAAGAAAGCTAAGGAAGATAAAACATGTATAGAAACATGTTATTAAAATTCATTATATTTTGTGAGTCATCAACCACGCACCTGTTGGATTCTTATAAATGCCCCTTTTTATCTCTAGCCTCTAGTTACGTCCTCCATGCATCTTTTTTACCTCTGTCTTTTACACTCCTCTTCTACCCTCTACCATGGTGGCAATATTATGGTGAAATCTTCTTTGCAAAAACAGTAGACCTCTACTTTTAATTGAGCTATTGCCATAGACCTAACAGTTGCTCGCCCCTGAAATAATAAGGACAATAATGGACCAAGGGCACGGAACTGCATCATCCAGTAAAGATCAAGGCATACACTTCAATCACAATCACAATCAAAAAACTAATCCATGCTGACGAGGCAACTGAAGGTGTTACTTCTGTTACTACATGCAGACAGTATACGGAAACTCGCGAGGAAATGAAAGAACTAGTTAAGTTTGTTTCTGCACAGAATAGAGCCCTAACTCTGATAATTAATTTACTTAATTCAGGGATTTCACTGTTGTCTGTGTTTCTCCCTTATCTGAAACCTATACAACAGTTCCTCTCTTGGGACCTCATCAGGCAAACAACACAAATGTCCATAACTTCCAACAACATTACTCTGCAGATATGATGGTTGCCCACTAATATAACTATAGACATGTAGGTCAGCCCAAAGCATTTTAATAAGCTATTCTAGCAGCAGGATATCTAATACCATGGTATCAACTTACAAACTCCAAGTCCTAGGCTTAGCCTATCCACTGCTGCTGCCCCCTTTCTGCCATTCCTCTCTGATCAGTGCAAGCTGCAAGCAGCCAAGCACACATTCAGCACTTAACAGAGCAAGCAAACCAAGTTAGAGAAAACACAGAGAAGTGAAAGGGTACCTGCTGGCGCAAAGGAAGTGTTAATTATGCCTAGGCCCTTTTTATGTGACTTGATCATCCTAGGCTTTTGGAATAATGTTTTGAGTAGATGTAAAGATCACACTATATGCATGTTTAAAGCTTGTCAAATAAAGGTTAATTATCTATCATTGGGTTGTTTAATTGCATGATTATCTAACTGTTTAGTGCTCAATGTCAATGCAGCATATAGCTATAGACAATATAAATAAATAGAATAGAACCTTGCCAAACAGTAATGGATAGGAGAGCTCTAGAAATAGCCACATGAAACATCATCAAATGTGCTTTTTATAGGAGTTAGAGATATATGGGGACAGATTGGGGTGCTCCTCTGTTTTGCGTTTCCTTCTATTATTCATCAGTATTACATCAGGTGAACATTTCCTCAAGCAGTGAAATGTAATGGGAAAATTAGCCTTTTCGAATTAATATTAACATGAGCACGAGTCTGATGACTAGAAATAGTTGATCTCCATGGCAGAGATCTCATGCTTTTCAAATTGTGTATTCTTGTACCACACAGGTTGTTTTGATCTCTGCAACTCTGCCCCATGACATCTTGGAGATAACTAGCAAGTTCATGACTGATCCAGTCAGGATCCTTGTAAAACGTGATGAGTTGACCCTAGAGGTAAATACTGCCACTTGTTTTGTTTACTGTGTGTTATCTTATTTGGCACTTACCTTTTCCATGTCATGTTTGCAGGGCATCAAACAATTCTTTGTTGCTGTTGAGAAAGAGGAATGGAAGTTTGATACACTGTGCGATCTTTATGATACACTTACAATCACCCAAGCTGTCATTTTCTGCAACACTAAGAGAAAGGTAATGCGTAGCTCAGTTGAATGATTCTTGTTATTCATATGATTGCCCCTGGTGAATTGCTGTTATTTGAAGTACTCTGCTCTACTCCAGTTAGCATTTGTCGACACCAATTTTCTTGTTTATCCTTATGGACATGGCATATGCATATCACTTTGTCGCTGAATCTACAAGTTGATCATTTTCTCCTGTTCTGTGTTGATCAGTGCTAGAATTTAAGTCTATCACTATGTTTTGGGTTTGCTATCGGTTACACTATTAAATTGTAGTGATGTGCTTCTTTGACTTGAGAAGTATTATAAAACCATGTGCAGCTTTGTCAATTATGTCCAATTGCCATAATTGATGGTTCACAGCTTGCTAAAGCGATAGTTGTCTTTTGGCCAGGTGGATTGGCTTACTGAAAGGATGCGCACCAACAACTTCACGGTGTCAGCTATGCACGGTGACATGCCTCAGAAGGAAAGGGATGCGATCATGAGTGAGTTCAGGGGAGGCATGACCCGTGTTCTGATCACGACCGATGTTTGGGCTCGAGGGCTGGATGTCCAGCAGGCAAGTCTTGTTTGCCAGTTTTAGCTTTCACTTGTTGGTTAGCTTCAAGCACGCTGTTGCATGATGATGCTCATCTTTGATTACTGACTTGAATCTGTTTGGATTTGTTTCAGGTCTCTCTTGTCATTAATTACGATCTCCCAAACAACCGTGAGCTTTACATCCATCGTATTGGTCGCTCTGGGCGTTTCGGGCGCAAGGTAAAGTTCTCACTCCTGCTTCATAACTCAAGTTAGTTTAGACTAGAGAATTTTGGTTATAGTTTCTGTGTTGCTAAAAACAATTAAAAGATAATGCTGTCTCAGTAAAGAAAACAATTGGAGTAAATTCAGTGATTCAACACTTATGTTTAAAAGCTCTTGTTGGAAGTGAATATGCAAGGCTTGACTACTCTTAACAAATGTTTATTCTCTGCATCCCAAATGCTGCCTACTCTTGACTTGCATGAAAATTTTCCGTGTGCCATGACTGCAGGGTGTGGCGATCAACTTTGTGCGCAAGGACGACATCCGTATCCTTCGGGACATCGAGCAGTACTACAGCACGCAGATCGACGAGATGCCCATGAACGTCGCTGATCTTATCTGAGCTTTGGACCGGATCGATCCCTCCCTCTCTTTGTCTCGGTGCGTGTGGGGATTTGGTTGCGATGCTTGGCTGTATTTCTGGTGCTGTAACTTGAGATTTCTTTTGTTGCTTTGGGAACATGGGAAGTGTATATATTCTTTCTTGGATTGACTAGCTCATGTAAAACACTCTTTTGTTGTTCCGCTATCTTCTGATTTGGACGCCGCCATGACAGACAAACACTCTGTTCATTTCGATTTTGATATTATTAGATTTTGTTTCAGTGTTTTGGTTAATGCCTCGATTTGTGTGACTTGCTAAATCCCATTTGATATGGATGTTGGGAATGTTGCTGTGTTTGCTGCCATCTATATCTGCACCTCTGTTCTAAATAAAATCTTGAAAAATTATCATGTTGAGAACAAGTACTAGTGACGCGGTTGGTAGGCTGCATCAAGCAAACCAGGCTCTGGCGGACTAATTTGCAATTTACACTCTGCTTGATGTAGCCAATCAAACGACGTGCAGAACATGTTGGTTTGGACCAAAACGAACAAAAACGTCGGCCCAACATAGAGACCCATTCTCATTTTATATTCGCTCAGACACATTTCGATCCCATATTTGCGGATGTTTCCTGTGCCCGTCTCATTTGCCTTTGTCCGGGCCTAGCCAACCTCTCACCCACCCACCTCTCTCTTTTAGTTTATCTACTGGCCCACCATCTCTCTCTCCAGCTACCCCCTACGCCTAACCGCTCCCCATCGCCGCCCACCCTGGTCGCGTGCCCGGCCATCGCCGCCCCTGGTCGCTCATCCGGCCGCGGGCTGGATCCGTGCCGAGGTGGGTGTCGGCCCCGCAGCACCTCGGCCGTGGCGGCCGCGTCCGTCGCCGGCCCCACCACCACCTAGACGACCGGCGGACGGACCTGCGCAGGAGCTCCTCCGCGGCGACGCTCGTCCTCGCAGGCATAGGCGTGCAGGTGCCCTTCGTCTCGACCGGCGAAGCCCTGACATCTTCAATTGTCTAAAAGAAATGCTACGTCCGCTCGACATGGGTATGCCTGCATTGGGAGAACATGCCGACGCAAAACAAAAAGTGGAGAAAAGTGTTAGTTAGGCTGACCCAAACGGACGAAAAGTGGACAAAATTCGTGTCCGTTTGCGTCGCTCGTTGGAGTGCTCTTACACTTAGAGCAACCACAATAAGGTTATG